TAGTATTCTCGAAGATATGCTGTTGAAAGGCGGGGATTACTACATTCCCTTCGACTTTGTTGTACTAGATATGGAGGAGGATTCGAAAATACCGATTATTCTTGGAAGACCATTCTTGAGTACAGCGAATGCAGTGGTTCATGTACGGGATGGACGTCTTACAGTGCAGACATGCGAGGAGAAGATGGAGTTTAATATGAATCATAATTTGAAAGGACATTCCACTACTGACACTGCGTGTTATGTAGACGTCTTTGACTCTTCTGACAATGAGACGATTGATGAAGAGGTTCATTTTGTCAAAGAAGCTAGACCACCCCACAGTGACTTCGATCTATTCCCTGAGATCAATTACGAAGTAAATGCAATCATGGAAACCCCTGGGAAGCCAAAGGCACACATGCGTATGGATAGGAACGCAAAACTTACATCGGAGAGAGGTACGTATCCTGCTCATAATTCCATATCTGCGTTTGAACCTTGCACTGCAGATCATCGAGCAATAATGATGAGCAAGAAAGGACTAAAACGAGCAAAATCAACGCCCAGACGTCTACAGAGTTGATCACTTCCCTCATATGTCTGGGTACCCAAAGAGGAAAGAAGGCTCAAGCGTCCCGAAGTTCAAAGATGCGCTTAACGCTCAACATCCAGGGTGGCGAAAGATCGATTATCTTCGCCTCTCAGACCCTTCCATCACTTGAGAAAGATAAGTCGAGCTAAAGACTTTAAACAAGCGCTTCTCGGGAGACAACCCGAGCACTAGGTAATTTTTCTTTCTTTTTATTTTTCTTTGTAGCATAGGTAATAGATACCATGATTGTACTTTTGGATCTTTCGTTAACGTATCAGAATCCATTATTATTATTATGTTTTCGTTGGATAACATTTGTGGTTCTATAAGCGTTCATACCGACACACGAGAGACGTGGACCAGTTTTCGAGAGACAACATTGGAAAGGTTCTAGTCCACAGAGTGTGTGAGAGCTCTTGTGTTTGACGTGAGTTAACTTCGTTTCGAGCGAACGAATTTCGCAGAGCTAAGCTTTCTCTATCCCTTTTACTCAGATCTTTTCATATTTTGTCTTCACTTACACTTTTTTGGATAAGAGTCTACACCGTGGACGGTGTATGATTCAAGTCTTGGGGTGGATAGATCCTTCATACATTCAGGTCTACTTATTTAGGATGCATTTAAATTAGGTGCATCCTATCATGGCATATAGACTTAGAAAAAATTTTCACTTTTGCATATCACTTTGTTGTTGCATTTGCACGTTTTTTTAATTATTATTCATATAGTTGGGTTTTCATTAGGATTGCATGATTGCATTCTGCATATAGTTTAGGTTCATATAGGTTCACGTGCATACCTTGAAAATCCGTTTTGAACATCATCCAGGAGATTCATGGGATGATAGAGTAGAAACGTCTTGATGATCTGGTAACTTTGTAGAACGTGGTTGAACCGTGTCGAATTGGTAGTTCTCCAGACTTTCTATATAAAGTTTGTGGGATGAGATTGTTATTTGGAACCTACGGAGTTGAAACGACTATATCCAGGTTATATGTTTCGTTTAGAACCTTTTCCGAGTCTTGGAGGTCGATGAAATTTAGTTCAACGAATACCTCGGGAAAATAAAGCATCTCGACACTCCGTTGTCAAAATCTCGTCAATGAAAATCGTTCGGCAACATGAGTGCATCGATCGATGGTGCGGGTCTAAGTTGTGGGTCAGACATCGCATTCAAAAGATAAAAAGAAAGCTTCAAATGATAATATCTGAAGGAACCGATGTCCCTCAACTTCAACGTCCTAGAAACTCGAGATGCTAGCGTTTTAAAGAAAAATCCTACAAATAGGTAAAAATTAAAGTATGTAGTAGAACTTAAATAGAAAAAGTTAAGATAAGGTAAGGATAGGTTCAGAAACATGCTGGGTAAGTTGTAGAGATTCCAAGGGGTTCTAGATGGCAATAAAAATCCCATGACTAGGTAGATTATTCTTTGATAGAAAGATCATAGTAGACCGGTTTGGTTATGATTCACGGGAAACTAGCATTGGATGGATGTTTCGCTTTTGAATTTCGTGATGATAGTATTTGATGTTCATCATTTCTCGCTTTGCAGATTTTATTCCTTCGTTCTTCACTCGAGGACGAGCAAAGGTTTAAGTCTGGGGGAATTTGCTAACTCCTATTTTTCTCTATATTTTTATGAGAGTTTGTCTAGATTTTATAGGATAATCACATGTATTCATAGGCATTCTAGGCACTCTGGAACACAAAACTCGGTTTGGTTGTATTTTTCTAGGATTATGGATTTTGGAGATTGTTAGAGTTGACATTGTTAGAGTCACTCTGAGTTATTGAGTTTAACTAAAAGACTTGCAAGGGGAGTTTGTATTTAAGTGTTGTAGGGTTTAGGAGATTGAAGAGATAAAATCAAATCGGGAAGTTGAAATTGAGTCAAACTCCTTGAAGCTAAGAGATCTGGAAAGAGATAAATACAAAGAAGATATGGATATATACAAAAAAGATCTATATAAAGATTAACTCAAATCTCGAGGATCAGATCTACAACACAATCAGACATCTATAAAAGGAGAGAAGACTAGAGAACACTTAGAGACAGACTTTTGGAGAGCTTTTGGTGAGAGAAGAATAGGAGTTCACGGGGTTTTGGGAAGAAGAAGGAGGATTCGATCGTGAGGACTACACATCCACATGAGCTTTTCGCTCCTCTCTTCTATCTCTTTTTCTTAGAGCTTTTTATTTTCATGAACCGTGAGTAGATCCATGGTTGTGGGTTAGGGATTCGTTTTGTTTTGTGTATGTTTGAACCCTAACTTGGATTTCGACATTGTGCTTATTTCGGTTTTATCGATTTGTGCTTTCTTTCAATTGGTGTTTGATGACCCCTTGATCAATTGTTTTAGATTCAGAACTACATAGGAATATGGGTTTAGTTTCAGATCAAAATCGATAGAATAGATCGTATTATTCACATAGGAATATGGTTTGATCGATCTAGGATTGATGATAGTGTTCTTCATGCATCTAGGGTTAACTTGAATAGATCGGGAGATTGACGAGTTACTCTGTAGGTAGTGAGTTAGTAGACTGGGAGGTGAATTTTCTATCCTTATTGCTTGATGACTCTCGAATACAAGTACAATGTCGTTATTCTCACATGCTTAAATATCCATACACTCGAATTCATCTTTGCTTGATAGTTTACACTCGTTTTCATCGCTTTGTTATTTTATTTGCCATTGATTCCACATTTTTCCACCACTTCCACTTGCTTGCTTTTAATTTGGTTTCGATTAGAATTTAGATCTAGTTACTGATACTTGTGTTCGACACCGTATTACGACGATCGGTACCCTTACGGTAAGTTGTGAATCGGGTTATAAATTCTAGACTCGGTACACACGTATCAGGGTCTTAACAGGTCGACGTGCTGTGTTCTTTGTGGTGACGAGGAAAAACCATAACCCACTTGTCTTCCCAGTGCTCCTACTTAACGCACATCTGGCCCGATGTTTCGCTCCAAGTGTCATCCCCTCCGCCATCGCATAACTGTTTGGAGGATACTTTGTCTTGGCTGACTTCTTATGCAGGTCCAAGGACTGTCATATACATAGTTTTACTTCTCTTCCAGGTCTCTATATACATGATATGGACGGAAACAAGTTCGAGAATCCATCGCTCTGAATTTAGGTCCATTGAGGTGACTCACAAGGAAATTATTTGGTTAACTCGACGGAAATTATCCTCTGTTTAGGCTAACTTGTTGTCTCCTTCTGACAAATCATACATTTATATCCTTTTGGTTTCGTAAACTTTGATCGTTTATGAATTCGGTTCGTAATCTCTTGGCTGTAATGTTGCCATAATTCAAAGTCTTATTTCGGCAGTAGTTGTATATAATAAAATTTACCTTTTACCAAAAAGACAAGTATTTTAAAGTCTAACTTCACCTTCCCGCATGGTAGACTCAATAAGCCCTCTTTTGGCACGTGTCTTCAATCGTGCCATGGTAGCCGTCTCGCTCCATTTTTTTTTAACCTGGGAAGCCTCTCTCTATCTCTCCCATTTTCCCCAGGACTTACCCCAGCATAAAGTGATTAGGCGGGGAAATAAAAAATCAATCTTTGCTTATACATGGGATTCTCTGGTACAAAATCAATCATTTCAATTAATTTAATTACTCCGGACCGGAATACGATTAATCGGCATTATTTAGATGGCAGTAAACCACGGTACCAAAACTAGGGGCAAAAAAAAACCAAATTTGAAACAAAAATAGCGTTTTACAAAAAAAAAAAAAAGAGAAACAACATAGCAATTAGCATTGAAAGCGAGATTGTACGAAAATAAATTTTGGACATTATGACGAATTCTAATGAGGATGTGTTCAGAAACAGAATTGAAATATTGAGATATTTTTATCTTCCAAAATAGTTACTTATTCTTCCTTATCTAATAAAGACGAAACCCATATAATATATATATATATATATATATATATATATATATATATAT